TGCGCAAACATGAACCTCCAAAAATGTCAGAAACTGTTGGAATATAAATACTGAATAGGTTTTATGTTGGAGAATTAACTTTGCCACCCCCCCCCCCCCCACAGATTACGGCACTTACGGGGTTCAGTCTAATATCCCCAGACCACTTGAATTAGGTTAAAAGGTGAATTATCGATATAATTAACGGCAATGGCTTTATGATCTGGATATCTGTCTACGTTTTAAATTTTAGGTTGCTAAGCTTTAACGTAGCAAGTATTGAAATGGGCTGAAGAGTGAAATCGAGTCAACTAATAGACTGCTAAAATATATCGAGAACCATTCCACCTGGCCAAAAGGTAATCTAAAAGTAAAAAGATATTGCTGAGACCGTATTGCTGGAATAAAATTTACTTTCCATTGCAGAAGTTTCTGAAAAATCGATCAAGTCGTTTAAAACCAGAAGAATCTGAAAATGAGTAGAAAGTTGCTGGAAAAATGCCGAGAAAATATCTCACAATAAACTGAGATAACTTATAATGAATCTTATATTTTTCGAATCGGATTGACCCCAGTTATTCGAATATGTAGATTAAGTTTGTAAGTTTTAAAAATTAAGATAAAAAAAAAGTCGTGCAATTAACCTTCGGACACAGGAAACCAATTCACGAAACGACGGCTTATTCCAAATAACTTTGTCTTTCAAGTAAAATGGATCAGGTCTACTTTTATTCCAAATTTCATGAAAATCGTGCTAATATTAAAGAAGTTGTCAAATTCGTTTTTACTTCCGAAATAATATGTCAATGACGTAATTTTTGAAGTTCGAAAATAGCAGATTTAAAGTAAATGTTTCAAAGTACCCAAAGAAATATGAATATGTAAAATAGGTCAAATATTCACAAAGTTACAACTATGTAGGTTAATTCTTTTGTCATTAACATTTAGTGATTTCGGATTTTTAAAGTGTTTCGAAAATATGTATTACAAAGTCAACATCCATTCTTGGAGACAGGTTAAAGATTTAGAAAGATCCAAAGATTAGATTCTTGGATATAAGCTTGACAGAATCTTAAGAAAAAAATTGTCTGTAAACAACTTTGTCGGCACGAAAAACGTCAAAGTGGAAATTCGAAATTTTGAAATCTTGAAATACCAAAAATTTGTGTCTGAGCCGGGCTATGCAGAAATGTAATAATTTCGGTAATAGGAGACAGATTCTCTAAAACACGACCTTTTGTGTATGTTTTCAAGCCCATTAATGTGGATTTTTCACTATTTTTCATTTTCAATTCAAAATGGCGTCCATCATTTGCCAGAAATCAAAACTCTAAGCACTACATTTTATGGGCATTCCTTCAAGGATTCGGAAAATATAATTCCCTTGTCTGTAAGTAAAATGTCAAAAAAGCCTTACGGATATTTCACATTTCAAGATGGTGGCACTTCCGGATTGAGCTAAAAACTCAATTTAATCTGACCTATATTTCGTCGATTTTTAAAAAAAATTTGATCCTTTATTTGTCCAAGGGGAGATAAGTTAGGAAATTTCTAATGACATCTTTCACGTCGCATCAGTAAGATCCACTTACATACCACAATTCAACAAAATCGTGCAAATATTACAAAAGTTGTTTAAAAGTTGGTCTGAACTTCCGGGTCAAAAACACAGTGACGAATTTTTCGAAATTCGAAAATCTGAAATTGCAGATGAAAATTATTTTTTTCAAGGTACCCAAAGAAAAAAGAATTATTAAAATATGACAAAAATCCACAAAGTTACAACTATGCATTATCAGTTTTTTTGTTCGGAAAATTCGGATTCGTAAAACATTTTGAAAATATATTTAATCAACACTCAATCAACCGCTGCCACCCATTTTTGGAGGGGTAGGTCAAAGTTTCAGAAAGATGCTCTGGTTAGAAACAATAAGCTTTCATATAAAATATGAAAGCTTAATAATAAGAATAATAATCTTAAGAAAAACAATCGTGTTTCACACAAGCTACGCAGTGTGAAACTCTAATAATTCCGTAGTCAGTTGTTTTATTTAATTAGGGGATTAAGGAATCAGTCAGGCGTTAATGAATACACACACCAGCTGTATATAGGTAATTAAGGAATAAATATGAATTCGGTCACTGTGACGTCACCAGGCCCGTAGCCAGCTTGCTAGCTTCGGAGGGGCAGTGAAGTTTTTAGGGGGGGCACACCCGGCACAGTCTACAGTAGGTATTTTAGAGCAAATTTTTTTTCGGGGGGGGGGAAAACATTTTTTCTGGGGGGCATTGCCCCCCTTGCCCCCCTCTGGCTGCGGGCCTGGACGTCACTGGCATCTGAGGGGATTAAGAGTTTTTTCGATAATTGGCAAAGTCATTTTTACGGGAGATCTCTTTTTGCGACTTTGAGCGAAGATTGCTGAATTAATTTTAATCGGATTGGTGTGAACTTGCTGCAAAGTGGATATAGTAACCATTGGCTATACATACCGAAAAGTCATCCATCTTATGTGCACTAAAACTAGTCCTGCTCTCACTCTCTCAAATGATTGGACTATTGATGCATATGACTTTAAACTTTGTCAATGCATCAATAGTCCAATCATTTGATCTTTTTGTAAACTTTATAGACAGATTATGGGGCAATGATCTGGTCAGCTGTGTTTTCAATGGTTGTTTCCAATACACAACCAGAACACGACACAGTGATAAAAGTCTGGTAATATATGAAATATGGAATATAAAACGAAAAACCAATTTAAAAACATCTGATTTTAATCAGATTATCTGTTTTATGATTGTAATGTGGTATTTTTTCGAGTATTCCTTATGTTAATATTCCATTGTATCTGATGTAAAATGTCTGCCTGATTGGTTTGTTAATTGTTCCAAGTTTAACTAGAACCAGCGGCTGCAAGGCAGGATACATTTTTCAAGAGATAGACAGAGAACAAGGTATACAAAAAGCAAGGGCCATAATTCTGGAAGGTACGATCAGATATGTGCGAATATCGACAGGAACCATGATCTTTGGGTTATAAACATGCATTTCAAGTTTCAATAAAATCGGATCAAAATTGTGACATCTAGAGTGTCCACAACCTTGATATACCAGATGTTTACCAATTTGCGTAGAGGGGCGGCCATTTTGTCTGTCAGTTTTCATTTGAACTCAACAAACATTATGGTGTAATGGTGATATATTTGAACGTTATTGTAAATCAGATAATAATTGTGACATCTAGAGGGACCACAAGCTAAAAACATGATTTTTCGTACAATAAGGGCAATAATTCAGGAAGTTACGATCCGATGTGTGCAAATATCGACAGCAACCAAGATCTTTGGGTTATAAACATGCATTTCAAGTTTCATCAAAATCAGATCAAATTGTGAGCTCTAGAGGGCATTGGGCCATTTTGTCTGGCAGTCTTGGTCCAATTTTCATGAAATTCGAACTCAACCAGGTGTAAGGGTGACATATTCGAACGTTTTTTTTTAAATCGGAATAAAATTGTGACCTCTTGAGGTACCACAAGCTAAAAACGTGATTTTTCATACAATCAGGGGCCACAATTCAGGAAGTTGACATCCGATATGCGCAAATATTGACTGGAACCATGATCTTTGGGTTATAAACATGCATTTTAAGTTTCATCAAAAGTGGGTGAAAATTGTGACCTCTAGAGAGTCCACAACCTTGATATACCATATTTTTTACACTATTAGCGTACGAGGGGCGGACATTTTGTCCGGCAATTTTGGTCTGATTTTCACGAAATTTGAACTCAACCATCATTAGGGTGTAACGGTGATATATTCAAACGTTTTTTTTAAATTGGATAAAAATTGTTCACTCTAGAAGACCACAAGCTTAAAACGCAATTTTTCATACGATTAAGGGCCATAATTCAGGAAGTTACGATCAGATATGCGTGAATATCGAAAGGAACCAAGACCTTTGTGATATAAGCATAAATTTATGGTTGCATCAAAATCGGAAAAAAATTGTGGCCTCTAGATGGTCTACAACCTTGATATGCCACATATTTACACCATTTGCGTTATACGAGGGGCGGTCATTTTGTCTGTCAGTTTTGGTCCACAACCTTGATATACCATATTTTTACATTACTAGCGTACGAGGGGTGGCCATTTTGTCCGGCAGTTTTGGTCTGATTTTCACGAAATTCGAACTCAACCATCATTACAGTGTAACGGTGATATATTCACACGTTTTTTTTTAAATCGGATAATAATTGTGACCTGTAGAGGGACCACAAGCTAAAAAACATGATTTTTCGTACCATCAGGGGCCATAATTCAGGAAGTTACGGTCCGATATGCGCGAATATCAAGATCTTTGGGTTATAAACTTACATTTAAAATTTCAACAAAATCAGATAAGCTAAAAACGCGATTTTTCGTACAATCAGGGGTCATAATCCATGAAGTTACGGTCTGGTACATGCTAATATAGAAAGGAACCAAGATCTTAGGGAGATAAACCTATATTTCAAGTTTCATTGAAATCAGATAAAAATTGTGACCTGTAAAGTGTCCAAAAACAATTGTGGAGGGACGTCCAGACGGATAGGGGCAACGACAATATACGTCCACATGAAAATGTGGGCGTATAAAAAGTCATACATATTGGGGCCTTGTCCTTTATCTTTAAAACAAACTACAAAATAACTTTGAGACATACATAATTTAAAATCATGCCAATAGTGCATGCCTTACAAAACAATTGTTTTTAAAATGATATTAACAAATTAATTAGTGTTTTAGTTTTGAAAACTGTAACATGCCAATCTCCAGAAAAAGTTATGGTAGCCTAAAAACATGAAGTGCTGTTAAAATATATTAAGTGCTTACAGACATCAGAACTTGGTTTTAATTAATATAAAACTTATACAGTATGATCAAATGTCAAATTAAAATTATCATGACATGCATCTTTTACTTTTGAAGAGATCTGAAGAGCTGCATTTAATGCATGGATATAAATTATATTGTACCTGATTCTATACGTTTTTTGTGTAGTAGCATATTGAACATTGCTGAGATTTCATCAGATTTGTTTTCATGGACTGTTGTTTCAATCTGTTCTTTTTTCATAGACAAAGCAGACGAAAGTTCATCAATGACCTGCAAATAATATCAGATTAAAATAAATATAATTATGAATCTGGAGTTAAACTGAGAATAACAACACTCGATGGTTATACAACTTGCAATCGTTCTGTAAGAATACCACAATATCGTCACAATTTTTTTAAAATTCATTTTGATTGTAGAGCATTTCCCGAAAAAGTTTACTTAAAATATTATGCCTTGAATCAATTGGAGTTACATTTGCTCTGTCAGAATATTCAACTCAATTAATATATGTCATCAAAGGTCAGCCATCAGACTTAATTTCTTTAATAATAACATTCACTGTTTTTGCATCAAGCCTAAACAAAGTTATCCTGCTTTCCCAAACTAATTTCCCCAAGAATAATTTTCAATCATCTTTCTTTGAAAATGAACAGAAGGAATCGTTGGAGCAGAAATTGCTGTATATAATATCAATAAAAAAATTTTAATCAAGTAAAATCATATCTTAGTAAAATCCTTGTCTCCACCCCATCAATTGACCCACTAATTTACACAACTGTTTTCAGGGGGAATGTTACATAATATATAAATCTTATATATAATTAATAATCTTTTTATAGGTATGTAGGTTAGTGAACCAACAGAAAGAATAGGTAGTTTGCAGGAAAGTCATGTACAAGACAGTGAATAAAATGTCATTGATATTTTGTTTTGTTTCAACTAACTGGAAATATCAAGTATTTTTCCAACTGATTATCTTGAAGTTATTGAAGCAAACTGATAAAGACCAATTTGGGGTTTCGGATTTTACCAGCATCATAATTAATAACAGAACCCATATCATGCAACTATATACACAAGTAAAAAATGGTGCATGACTGAAATTGTTCGGTGTATTTGGACCGATCACCTTCATCCTTTACAGATCTAATTAGTCTTTTAACAGTAGGCTATGTGTCTTTATAAATGAAATGAAATGAAATGTTGTTTAATGGCATGTCAGGTGTCTTTATAAAAAGATATAAATTACATATAAATGTAGTCACTGTTAACATGCATTTCAAATCAACCTTACATAACCTTGCACCAAAAATAATCAGCTTTAAAATCTAAAATGTGTACTCATCAAAGCAAGACTATGCCCCCATTCTAAGCTTTCTGTTCTGTACATTTTTTCCGTCATTTCAAATTTAGGCTGAGCTTGTGTGGATTGTCAGACTATTGACTGATCATGCACTTTAAGAACATTAAGCATGTAGAATAGGGTTTAATTCATTAACCTCTGCTCCATAATTAACAATCACTCTAACCATGCTTTTGTCCATTTATAACTACCATACATGTAGGTGTACATTGTATTACTGGTAATTAGGAGAAAGAAACTATAAATATCTTTAAGTAACAATCTAAGATTACCAGTAATATTATGGTACATCCAAACACTCATGCTTTCTAATTTTTTATATTTATATATATATATATATATCCTATGCATTTCATCGCATCTTATACTTGGACTTCGGAAAACAGTTACACAGAAAAAATTATACTTGAATATTAGCAAGATAAGGAGTTATGTCCCTTGATTGTGTCAAGAGCCTGTAATTATTGGATTTCTGTGTTTGTATTTGTCTCTTTCACATCATCAATAGTAGAATATAACATAGTGAATATGTTCAATGCTTGTTCCAGTAAGTGGAAAACATAATGACTTATTAACTTTATTATATATGATTGAATTACGAATTTATTTCATCATACTGATGATCATAGCCATTGATCAAGTTAAATATGCTTGGGGCTGTGCCTTATTGGAATGTCTCACAAACATCTCATCCATAAATAAAACAATTTAGTTTTTGTTTTTGTGGGGATTGAATAATGATATAGACAAATGGTAGGTGGCACAACTTGAATAATTGTATAACATAAAGCTCTTGGGTATTAAATACATTATAATGTTGTATTGTTTGTTTTGTAATTGAACCCTAATATAATAATAAATATCATGGTACAGCAAACAATCTATGCATGACTTACCATGACAATTACTCATCAGGGTCTAAATAGATATCTAAATGTTTCCCCACACTGTAAATGGAAACTGTGTAAAGGCAGGACAGAGTGGAATGGGAATTTTATGTCACAGAGGCTACTGTACTGCATTTTCTTCCAGGATGTTTTAGGACTAACGTTACATCTATATCATGTTACCTGAGTTGCAGGAAAAAATTTTGCCCAGGCAGTAACTAATTGCATTCTTTTTATGTGTAGGCACTAATCAAAATAATTCTTTTTGTTTATAGCTTAAGTTTTCCCATTTCAGACATTTTATTTTGACATTTATTTATTTATTTTTATATATTAGGCTGTATGTTTTAAAACTTCCTAATGGAAGATAATCAAGATTTTCTTACAAACAAAAGCATAAATATTGGATTTAGACCATATCTATATAATTGACTTAGATAGAATTGTATTGGTAGCTTCTTAGTATAATAATCAATGACCTACACATATATATATATATATATTACAAGATAACTGGTAGATTTCAACAGGACATATGATTATTTATAATAGTTGGGAGTTTTATCACTTTTAAGAAAAGACCTGATCGAAAAGAATAACAATAGGATCCATAGGGTACTTCTGTTCTCACAGTTACACGATAACAGTCATTAATACTTTATACAAAAATCAATATACAGTGTAGGGCTATATCTTTACAAACACACATTGTAATAACATTCACAATATTTACATGCTAACAAAAAGTATACCCACAACTCGACTCTGTTCCCAATAGATATAAAAAAAGCAAAAAGTCATAAATTGCGATAAATACATGTGAACATTTCTAACAGATGAACAACACAAAAAGATAATTTAATTTAGACATTTTTCATCAACTGAGGTGAGGTGAATTGTTTTATGTTGCATCATTTAAATTGGTGAATTTAGAATCACTTCCATAGATATATCACTTGATATAGAATAATCTAATGTGATTTGCAATGTCAGTAAACATTACTTTTAATACAGGGAGATACCGAGATGTGCAAATATCCTAATTATCCTGTGGCAGACACTATCCATTAAACAGCAAGTCAATTATGCTGTCAAATAATATACAAATATTACAGTAAATTATTGTGTATCATTTTTCTTATCGTGGCAATATATTCTCTACCTAAGATATTTTAGCTACCACAGACATTGTGATATATAATAATTTAAATGCTTTATATTATTTATTTATATAATACAACAGCTCTGTCACAATTAGAGACTTGTATATGCTGTGTGCAAGTTGTATTTGAGGTCAAAGAACAAAGTAGTTTTAAGGAATGGCTGGGGAAGCCGTATGATGCATTCATGAATTTGAAATAACTAGTATCCTGAAAAGCATTTTTTTTTTGCAGAACACAAACAGTATTTACAGCTCAAAAATTCCACATGCTTTCAAAGATTACATTATGACCTAACCTATTATTTAAAATGTTTTGTGAAACAAGTCAAATAGATCAAGGAAAAGGATCCATGCTTTTAATTCAGAAGGAAGAATTTGAACAGATATGGCACTGTTGAGAATATCCGCAAATCTATCATGCAAGATTTATATTATTATAATCTTTGATACAATGTTTTAATAAAACAGTATATGACAGGGCTTCCATTTTATATCTGATCTGGCAGACATATTTTTATAAATTTCATCCAAAACATCCCCTATTTTGAAAATCATTGAAATGCAAAATATTGTACACACAATATTTTAATCTACATGTAGTATATCAATTGTTTGACAGATTCACCAGCTAAATGAAAACCCTGGGGGTACAGTATGTACTTTTCATACTGTTTTAGTAAATGCCAATGTCAAAAGCAATCTTTCATAAACATTTGCAAAAGTTCAGAGATTAAAAAGAAACAAATATAGATATAAGCACTTACAAAATGCAAAAGACAAATTATCAGTGAAAAGAAAATAGTGTATTTCAATTGCAAATCAAAAGCATATACATAATCAATAGAGAGTGTACACAGACAAGACATACTTTTTAGAAAAAACTCTTTAAATAATTTTTACTCAAGCTCTAAACAGATGTTTTTCTTGTTTATGCTTCTTTTTACAAAGGTTTGAAGACAGAATTAGAAAATAAAATTTCTTGCTATTTCATTTGATAGTTTATTAACCATGCTTGCAAATTAGTGTTTAATTAGACTGTAGATATACATATATTTCAGAAGCAAGTCCAATAGATTAAAAAAGAAGTTTCTAAATTTTTCTATAGAGAATTTTTTCACTTGACTGTCACAAACTTATAATATTCACTTTTTCTTAAAAAAGAATTGAAACTCTCTCTTTACCTGTGACTTGAGAGATTTGTCCCGAGGCATGGCAACAAAAGGGAAAAAAGGAACTTTGGATCCCTCGGTGATCCATGGATGGATTTCAATATCCAGCATTGGAAGACGTATGTCTGGTTTTGGTTCAATTATACTACGTATTAAGTCACGACATTCTGAAATTATAAAAAAAAGAATTCCCTTTTAAATTTTTCCCTTTTATATGCCCAATATTTCTTGTAAACACTCTGAACTCTATAGTTCTGATTGGATTATTCTCAACTTCCCAAGATTGTTCATTTGCATGTAAGGAAGAATGACTCAAAAAAATGTTTCAACTGCAAATTTCAAAATTATCTCGGCATCTACATTTAAACTTACGATATCTCATGAAGACAGTAAAGGGCAAAGATCTTGATAGAATATTTCAGAACTCTGTATGATGATTCATTAGGGTAATCAGGATGTAAAATTTGAATAAATTTTGCCAATTTATTTTTCCAGTCATAGTTGGACTTTTAAGGTTTGTCAACATAAACAAAGCGAATGATAGAATTTTAAAAACATGATGGTGCTGGGTCTAGGAGAATCCTATCGATATTTAGAATTTAACGATCGCAAATCACAGAGTTACCCTTCATCTACATTTATGAAATCTTGTGAACACTATAAACGACATTGTATGTCAAATGACAGAGGCATATCGGTATTACTTTAAATATTGCTGCAATAGTTTCAAATCATCTTGCATGACAGAATTTGACAAATATGTCTCTTTTACTAGACATTTTCAATATGTTGATCCCTATAAACACAAATTAAAAACAAACGAACCTTGCGTAAGGTGAAGCATTTCTTGTTCTTGTTCCTGTTGAATACCTTTCTCTATTTGTTTTAAGAGTTTAATACGACGATACTGATCTGTATACACAGTTGTAAATGGTAGTTTACCTACCAACATTGCATATATTATAATACCACTGAAATAAGAGAAAACACCATGCTATATTAGTATTAGATCATGGTAAAATAGATATATGTTAGTGAATAAAACTAAATTCAAGTTGAAAAACCTTTTATCCTTGTCTAGTGCCACTACAAGAATCTCTTTGATACTCACTTGAAGTAATACAAACTTCAGTTTCAATGTGAAGTTGTCCACAAGTCTCCCAATTCCACGCAATTAAAATCTTGGATACCCATGTCTATACATACACTTGCAGACGTTACTGGAGTAAGTGATCATCGCGATTATCAAGTCACTCGTATAACTAAATAATGAAATTCCTTAAATGAGTTATGTAACTTTGGTGATCATTTCGAACAGCTAAATTTTATGATCTGAAATTTCCAGACAAGGTGCACAGGTTGTATTGGCACGTTCTGTACTTTTTAAACCCACTTTGAGTGAAACCTAGGACTTTTCCTTTAAATAGGGTGAAGAGAATTAATGTTGTTTATTGTCATTGAAATCCCTGATCATTATATTCACAGATGCAAACTATTTATAATATTGTAAAAGTTGAATCTCTAAAAGAAATATCAACATTCCCATCCACTGCAGAAGATACAATATAGGATTTGTCAAAACCAACCAGTGTCACTTGCAATTTACTTTTTACTCTGATTGAAACCAATCCAGGAGATAATCTACTGTTGACATTTTCATTTTGTTTTCTTAATTAAATTTTAAATAATCAATCTGAATACATTTTAGTGTAGATTCAGCTGTGAAAAATTACATATTGCTAGAAAAATGCAAATGACGATCAGCGACGTTAATACACAAGAACTTACATTGCCCAAATGTCCACTTCTGGACCATATTTTTCTCCAGCAGAGAATAATTCTGGCGCTGCATATTCAGGTGAGCCACAATGTGTTTTCATAAGTTCGTCCATTGTAAACGTATTACTCAAACCAAAATCTATAATAACAAAAACATACCACTTTCTTATCTACATCTAATTTATAACAATATATTCTTATATCTAGACCTAATTTATTACAATTCGTATACTCTTTAAAAAGATAGGTTGCGAGGCAACGAAGCATACGCCCACAGCAGCTAAATCGTCCGGGCAGTCAACAAGAGTTGTCTCATATTTTTACTTATTTCGGTAATGAAACATTTATAATACACTAAAATCTGATTAAGAGTAACAACTCATTATGTAATTATCAGAAAATCATTAGAATTTGTTTGGCTTTTATAAAGTTCTGCCCCATGGTAACGTTTAGTATACGAAACATTTAATATCATGGATTTAGCTGTTCAAGTTATCAAAATTCATTGAGAATCGATATACTTGTTCGTCTCAAGATCTTTAACTCTGTGTATCAATCTGAAGTCAATTGGATGATAACTTTAGCCTCTAAGAGCGTCACAAGATTTTTCAAAGTGATCAAGGGCCATAACTCTGGCAGAAATTATCGTAAATTGCTCAAAATCAATAGGATTCTTCCTCTCATGACCTTAAATACTGTGTATACATTTAGAGTCAATCGGATATTAACTTTAGCCTCTAGAGTGTCCACAAGATTTTTTGAAGTTATCAAGGGCCATAACTCTGGCAGTAATTACTGGAAATTGCTGAAAATCAATAGGCTTCTTCGTCTCATCATTTTAAACACTGTGTATAAATTGAAAGTCAATCGGATATTAACTTTAGCCCCTGACGGACGGACAAAAGGGGGCAACGACAATATACGACCACATATCAATGTGGGCGTATAAAAAGTAGGGGATATTCAGAAACGATACAAAACTGCGGAAATGCACTGCTGTTTTTATTAGAAGTAACCAGTGTATGATAATAACAGGCCAATTGCCTACACATGAACATAAACAGTTCATATGAGCGGCTTATCTGATAGCCCCATTCCACTCGCAAAGAGATACACTGTCAAAAGTGAAAATGGACGTTTTTGATTTTTGTCTTAATAATGAGTAATCTCTCCACCAATCCTCAGATATTCAGATATTCATCATGTCATGCTCCTAATCAACTGCCCAATCATGATTTGGGGCAATCTGACCCACTCCTCTTGGAGTGCCACGGCCAATTCTTGCAGTATTGTCGGTTGACGTTGATGTCGACGAAAAGGTCTCCTGATCATGTCCCAGAAATGCTCTATGGGGGAAAGGTCAGGACTCATGGCTGGGAAAGGCATATGGACAATATAGTAACGCTGGAGGTAGTCATTCACGACACGAGCGTTATCATCTTGAAAGATAAAACGTTGACCTGCACGTTGAGCAAAGGGCAGAACTATCGGTGCCAGGATGTGGTCATGGTAGTACATACCAGTGACCCTTCCTTGAACAATATGCAGTCTGTTCTGCCAGCCATGGTGATTACTCCCCTCACCATAACAGACCCACGGCCGAATCTGTCATACTGTCTGACGTTAATGTTAGCACATTTGAAAATGAACCCCTCACACGTGTACGGCGCTATTGCGTGTCACACGAACAGCTCTGTATTTCTGTTGGGGCGATAAGTTCTTCATCTGTGAACATACTCTCAAAGCATGTCAAGTGTCCATGACTATTTATCATATCACAACCTGCATAGGTATTTGCATTTCAATATCCCCTACTTTTTTTTAAGAGTATATATAATTTTTATATCTAGATCCGATTTATTACAATATACTTCTTATATCAACATCTTATATCTAGATCTTACTTATTATAATACACTTCTTATATTTACATCTAATTTATTACCATATACTTCTTATGTATACTTATTATATCTATATCTAATTTATCATAATATTCTTCTTATATCTACATCTAATTTATTACAATATACTTCTTATATCTACATCTAACTTATTACAATATATACTTCTTATAACTACTTCTTATATCTAATTTATTATAACATACACCTAATTTATCATAACACAATTTGTATATCTACATCTAATTTATCATGACAATCTATTTTATTATAATATACTTCTTATATATATTCCTTATACCTACATCTAATTTATTATATTTCTTATATCTATATTTAATTGATTACAATGTACTTTTATCATTTACATTGAAGCCTAGTCTTTTTTCAAGAGGTATAGTAAATAGACATATATATATTATTTTGTTCTTACACACTATGTTATTATCCACTTCAAGTTTCATATTTTGAAAGACTGAATATTATAATTATGTTTCATAAGGTATAACTTTTAGGACATTACCAATATTTCAACTGAGAGAATCCATGCCTGTGAGTGCTAACAAGCTATGATATATCTGATTTCATTATTACTAACAAGATTCTATACCGATAAAACAGTGGCCATGGTGAACTTATTTATATTGAATACACAAATAAGATAAATTCATTTGTAGACTTTATTCACAATGATGACGGCCATGTCCAATGTATATTTTGAAAGGAATGTGTCATGGTGAATTCACTTTACTGTAAGGTAATAACACATCATCTGCCCCATCTAACATCACCTTAAACCTATTAACCTAAAAATCAATATCACCCTTCACAGAAACACCACATTCATAAACCACACACACTACCACATAAAACCAATATTCTACTCCAACTTCCTAAACACATCAAAACTTTACCCTATAAATTCTATTTCTCCTGTTCATGTGTTCAAATTTGATACAAATTTATTCTTACCGACAATCTTTATACTCTTTTTATTTTCATCCAACATAATATTCTCCATTTTAAGATCCCTAAAACAGAATAAAAATATTTAAATTTCACATCAAATTCTAGCATAACATTACCATGGCGCCAGGCAGGATACGCCTACATTTGGCAAGAGATGGATAGAGAACAAGCTAAAAACAAATAATCCAGAAAGTTTTGGTCTGAAATGCGCAAATATCAAAAGGGACTAAGATCTTTGGGATATAAAGATATATGTTAAGTTTCATCAAAATCGGATAAAAATTGTGACCTCTAGAGGGTCCACAACCTTCATATTACAATTTGCGTACAAAGAGCGGCGATTTTGTTGGGCAGTTTCATTTTAATTTTCCCAAAATTCAAATTCAACCTTCATTATCATGGAATGGTGATATATTTAAACGGTTTTTAGAATCAGAAAAAAAATTGTGACTTATAGACATTGCAAGCTAAAAATGTGATTTTTCGAACAATCAGATCAGGGGGCATAATCCAGGAAGTTACGTTCAGATATGCACGATTATCAAAAGGAACCAAGATCTTAGTGTGCAACAGTGATATATTCACATGTTTTTTTTAAATTGGATAAAGATTGTGACCTCTAAAGGGATCCGATTTTCACGAAATTCGAACTCAACCAAAATTATGGTGTAACGGTGATATATTCGAACTTTTTTTAAATCGGATAATAATAGTGACCTCTAGTGGGACCACAAGCTAAAAATGTGATTTTTCGTACAATCAGGGGCCATAATTAAGGAAGTTACAATCTGATATGCGCGAATATCGAAAGGAACCAAGATCTTTGGGATATAAACCTGCATTTCAAGGTTCATCAAAATATACCACATGTTTACACTATTTGCGTACGAGGGACAGCCATTTTGTCGGGCCGTTTTGGTCCGATTTTCACGCAACTCGGAGTCCACCAATATTATGGTGTAACGGTGATATATTCAAACGTTTTTAAAATCGGATAATAATTGTGATCTCTAGAGTGACCGACCACAAGCTAAAAACATGATTTTTCGTACAATCAGGGGCCATAATTCAGGAAGTTACGATCCGATATGCGTGAATATCACAATGAAAAATAGACGATAAGGATTCCAAAATAGACCTAGAACCGAGGTGAGGGAAAAGCCATAATTTCATATTGAAGCTATATATAGGGACAAATAGGAACGGTAAGAGGACAGGGTCCGATCAGTAACCGTTCCTAAAGGAACTATTGGATAAGTAACAATTTTACTCCTGGCAGTGTGATGAGTTCAACTTACAGGGTTACTACTGGCAGTGGAAAACGAATAACAATGTTAGCCCTAGCAGCAGGATGATATACAATGTTACTACTGGAAGTGAAAGTTAAATGAATAACAATGTTTGTCCTAGCAGTGGGATGACATTCCATATTACTACTGGTAGTGAGCAATGAATAATAATGTTTGTCCTTGCATGGAGCGTGATAATATACAATGTTACTACTGGCAGTGAGAAATGATGACAACATTTGTCCTAGAAGTGGGATGATATGTAATGGTACTTTTTGCAGCAGTGGTATGATATACATGTACCAGTGGCTGCCAGGCAGGATACGCCCACATTTTGCAAGAGATGGATAGAGAACAAACTAAAAACAAAAACGATTTTTTTACAAGCAGGGGCCATAATCCAGAAAGTTATGGTCTGAAATGCACAAATATCAAAAGGGACTGAGATTTTTGGAATATAAAGATATATTTTAAGTTTCATAAAAATTGGATAAAGATTGTGACCTCTAGAAGGTCCATAACCTTTGAATTACATAATTATATACAATTTGCATACAAAGAGCGGCCATTTTGTCGGGCAGTTTCATTTCAACTTTCCCTAAATTCCAATTCAACCTTCATTATGGTGTAATGGTGATCTAAACAGTTTTTAAAATAGGAAAAAAAATTGTGACCTCTAGAGAATCCACAAGCTAAAAATGTGATTTTTTTACCAATCAGGTGCCATAATCCAGGAAGTTACAATCCGATATGTGTGAATATCAAAAGGAACCAAGATCTTTGGGTTATAAACAGGCATTCTAAGTTTCATCAAAATTGGATCAAAATTGTAACCTCTAGAGCGTCCACAACCTAAAAACAGGATTTTTTGTACAATATGCGCGAATATCGAAAGCAACCAAGATCTTTGGGTTATAAACATGCATTTCAAGTTTCATCAAAATCGACACAAAATTGTGACCTCCAGAGGGTCCACAACCTTGATATACCAGATGTTTAAACTATTTGCGTACAAGGGGTGGCCATTTTGTCTGGCAGTTTTGGTCCGATTTTCATGAAATTCGAACTCAACCTTCATTACGGTGTAACGGTGATATAACCAAATGGTTTTTTAAATCGGATAATAATTGTTACCTCCAGAGGGACCACAAGCTAAAAAAGACGATTTTTCGTACAATCAGGGACCATAATTCAGGAAGTTACGATCCGATATGTGCAAATATCTAAAGGAACCAAGATCTTTGGGTTATAAATATGCATTTCAAGTTTCATCAAAATTGGATTAAAATTTTGACCTCTACAGGGTTCACAACCTTGATATACCATATTTTTACACTAGTCGCGTACAAACGGCGGCCATTTTGTCCGGCAGTTTTGGTTCGATTTCCACTAAATTCGAACCTAACCTTCTTTACGGTGTAACGGTGATATACTAAAACGGTTTTTAAAAACAGATGAAAATTGTGACCTCTGGAGGGACCACAAGCCAAAAACGTGATTTTCCGTACAATCAGGGGCCATAATTCAGGAAGTTACGATCCAATATGCGTGAATATCGAAAGGAACCAAGATCTTTGGGTTAGAAAGATGCGTTTCAAGTTTTATCAAAATCGTATCAAAATTGTGACCTCTAGAGTGTCCACAAGCTAAAAACGTGATTTTTCGTACAATCAGGGGCCATAATCCATGAAGTTACGGTCCGATACATGCCAATATCGAAAGGAACCGAGATCTTAGGGTGATAAAGCTATATTTCAAGTTTCGTTGAAATCGGATAAAAATTGTGACCTGTAGAGTGTCCACAAACAGGGGCGACGACAATATACGTCCACATGAAAATGTGATATAAAATAATTAATAGAATACAATATCAAAAAACCATCGTTTTATCCAACGTTTCGTCAGTAAAAATACTAACTTCTTTGGGGATGAAGAACTAAATTGTATTCTATTAATTATTTTATATCAACTTATCTGGATATCAAATGCATCATTTTGACTTAGTCAAAATTGATCCCATCAAACCGTCTGTATTTGGTTTGTGTTTCCTGTTTCTACTGATTGGAAGTTTCACATGAAAATGTGGGCGTATAAAAATGTTACTTCTGTCAGTGTGATTAGATGCATGTACAACCATACAATGTTACACGTGTGATAAATGATAATTTTCACCACAGCAGTGGTATGATATACAATGTTACTCCTGTCAGTGGGATCAAATTCAATCACACAATGTTACATGTTAGATAAGTTATAATTTTTGTCACAGCAGTGGTATGATATACAATGTTCCTCCTGTCAGTGGAATTAGATACAATCATACAATGTTACACGTGTGATAAATGATAATTTTCGTCACAGCAGTGGTATGATAAATTAGATACAAATATACCATGTTACATGTTAGATAAGTGAAAATTTTCATCACAGCAGTGGTATGATATCAATATTACTCCTGTCAGTGGGATTAGATACAATAATACAATGTTATATGTAAGATAAGTGATAATTTTTGTCACAGCAGTGGTATGATATACAATATACAATCTTCAACGTATAGCTGAAAATAGTTGTCTGTTCGTAGGTCATGACACATGAATATTAATTAGATGTGGCATGCACGTGTGCTTGTCTATAAGTATGTGATGTGTCATTCTAGCTTCTGTCGTTGACTTGATAACTAATTTCAGGTTAAAACAGTATGTTTTCCAGTATGTTTTGAAGAGGTCCATAGATTTTTCCAGAGTATTTGTCTTTTAAAATTTTATCTCCATTTTTTTTTTAGACTAGGACCGAATGTTGAGTCATAGGTAACTGTATTTGTATTAACAATTGTATACATTTAGTAGTATCTATTAAAATAAGTGCTATTATGTTTCAATAATTCAATAAACGTCAGATCCTAAACGCATATTATTTGTTATTTTATTGTTTGGGTTGTATTTGGGCGAGAACAGAAAATTTCCTAGGACTCCATCTAGAAACAAGAATTATTTAAGGAACCAATGACCAATTATGACCTCAATTCCAAATCAATGTGTAATCGGCTTTTCTAGCATGCCAACTGACCATAACATCTGTTTAATAATAGATGTTCTCATTCAAACTGAATATTATGGGTCTGTATCAATGTATATATTTATTCTAAAAATTACAGGCTAGGTGTGTATAGATATATCATTGTTACATACTCTCGAACAATTTCACAATCAACCAATACATTTATATACAACACCACTTTCAACATACAGTTACTTGATATTAAGCGACAATGTGTGAACAATTACAGGGTTCGGGGTTTTTTTTGCTCTGTGTATAATGTTTAATAAATTATATACTCTTCAAAAAAAGTAGGGGATACTGAAATGCAAATACCTATGCTGGTTGTGATATGATAAATAGTCATGGACACTTGAATGCTTTGAGAGTATGTTCACAGATGAACAGAACCACTGAGCCGCAACAGCGACACGCAAGTAGTAGGTATTAGCACACTTTCCTTGGTGTATCGGTGAATATCAGGACAGTTTTGGTCGAGGGGCCCAGCCGAGGCGGCCCCCGACCAAAACTGTCCTGATATTCACCGATACACCGAGGAAAGGTGCTAATAAGTTACTTACATCACATCTCTATCGAGTATTGTGAAGCAAAATGTGAATAATAGTATTTATTATCGAGTCGTTTCAACTGAAAAGTGACAAATACTTTCTGCTCTTTCATTATTTATCCCTTTCTGAGCCTTACGTTACATTTCATGGTAGAATGATTTCGCA